TAAGCAAAACAGTGACAACAAGATCACGAATTCGAAAGTGAAAGCATCCGAAGCCCGCGGCTTAACACAGCAAAAGAGAAACTCATATTCACAAAATTCTAATCACAAATACTACTACTAATGATAAAGAACGGGTTGAATGTTAACCACTTTAATTTCCATAGAATTATAAACTATGATAAAAGTTCATCAGCATGCATTGAATGTTGTAGTGCAAAAAAAAATAAAAATATTGCGACCAAATCGTGTGCTCATGCGACCAGCTGAGAAAGTTAGTTGCAAAAGAGCGACCAGCGGGAAAAATGAGTCTGGAGAGGCCATCTTTTGTTTTAGTCTTTAAAAAAATGAAAGGTGTGTAGATGTATTTAAGCAAAACAGTGACAACAAGATCACGAATTCGAAAGTGAAAGCATCCGAAGCCCGCGGCTTAACACAGCAAAAGAGAAACTCATATTCACAAAATTCTAATCACAAATACTACTACTAATGATAAAGAACGGGTTGAATGTTAACCACTTTCATTTCCATATAACTATAAACTATGATAAAAGTTCATCAGCATGCATTGAATGTTGTAGCGCAAAAAAATAAATAAAAAAAATATTGCGACCAAATCATGTGCTCGTCCAGCTGAGAAAGTTAGTTGCAAAAGAGCGACCAGTGGGAAGAATGAGTCTGGAGCCCAGGCTATACAGTGCATGAAGAGCAAACTGGTGCTCTTCTGTTTCTTTTGGTGTATGACTCCCCCTTGTCTCGTATAAAAAGCACAATAATCGCGGTTGGTTAGATCAAATAATCGCGATTAGATGGTTATTTAATTATCGCAACAGGCCTACTGGCAGCTGTGGGTTATGGGGATGGAGCTAGAAGAGGGCTTGAGGACCCTTAGCTTTTCTCACACAGCTGTCACTCTGTATGGGAAATGACAAAAGATAAGCAAAAATAGGGCCTTTACCAAAGAAAAACGGAGTAAGTATTTCACCATGAAAGGAAATCTTCCTTATAAACACACAGGTAATCATTCCTGAAGGCCATTTCAGCTTTATATAACATATCACTGTGGTATGAAGCCTATAAAAAGGAGATGCAGCTGAAAATAAATGGAGTAAACAAACCTAAATTTACAGCCAATCAGCTGAAAATTGTTGAGAACGACAGGCTACACTCTTAAAAATAAAGGTGCTTCAAAAGGTTCTTCAAGCGATGCCATAGAAGAACCATTTTTGGTTCCACAAAGAACCATTCAGTCAAAGGTTCTTTAAAGAACCATCACTTTATTACCTTTTTGTAATCTGAAGAACCTTCTTTCGCCCCAAAGAACATTTTGTGAAACAGAAAGGTTCTTCAAAGAACCTGAAGAACTAAATGGTTCTTTATGGAACCATTTAGACAAAAAGGTTCTTCTATGGCATCGTGAAGAACCTTTATTTTTAAGAGTGTACCTACTACGTAGCTCATTGGATTCTTTGCCTTAAAGGGACATTCAAAAATGTAAAATATGCCATCATTTAATCACCCTCATGGGTTTCTAAACCTGTATGGCTTTCTTTCCTCTGAAGGTAGATTGCATATTCCTGTCTTTTCCAAACAAACACTTTTATAGTGACAACAGTTGTTAAGATTTAAAAAATGACAAAAAGCACCATAATAGTCTCATTAAAAGTGATACATTTGACTTCTGAAACCATATGACGGACGAGGGACACACTAAAATTGAATAATTATTAATTGAAAATCACATTCAACTTGTCTACAACTTGCCATTGTATTCAAAAAAATATTTTGTTACATATTAGAAAGTACGTGTTTTGGCCATGTCATAACTGTAAATTAACTGTAAGACCAAATGCCATGTTCTCCTAATAAAAATTCTCTGAACCAAACTCAGCTTTCCAAAACCATGTAATAAGTTCCTGCCAAAGGAGCCTCTACTGAATTAAATATAGCTATGCTTTCTATTAATAAATCACTGAGGTGTTCAGCTCTATAATGATAAGTTGGAAATGTGTGTGCTGTTCCAAGTGTGATTGTCTGTTGATCTGACCTTTCACCCACTTTAGAGCACCTCTGGGCTGAGAACCGCAGACTATGGTGGGTAGCAGTCAAAATAAACCCTCACACAAACACACACGTCACACAAACACACACACACACAGACTGCTGGTAGTAGAAATGCAGATCATTGACACACCCAAAGGGACACATAAATAAGACTTAACATATAACTCAAGTTCATACTCCCTAAACCACACAGCTCTGAAGGCAGACGGTCTATTGAACAGCTCGGGTCAAAGATCCCACAAGTTATTCCAGAATCCACATTATATGCATTGTCAGATTTCCCTTTGATGATAAAATGCCTAGAAGAGTCAAATAAATGAACAACATGCTTTGGCTAAAACCATCTCAATGTCCTTGCCCCTTTTGTCAGTTTGGTTTCGTTTTCTCCTCAGTAATTTGGGAAATTCCTTTGTGTGGTTAACAAGTTACAGCTCCTCTAAGTGTTTTTCTCTCAGCAGGAAAAATATCTTGTAAAGGTGAAATATCTTGTTTCGTAAGGTTGCCATGTAGGTCACATTTTTAGATTCCCGTTTCTCCCCTTGACCCAATCTCGGTCTTCAGATTGAGGAAAATAGAAATGACATGCATGCAGAGGAAGGGAAGGGGTCATGGCATGAACAATGTGCTGACACAGACCACTGCCTCAGGTAGAGAGGCAGGCTGAGAACGACACTTCCCAGGAATAAGGTGCACTCTGGTGTTCAATTACTTTTTTCAAAGCATTATTTTGAGAACTATTAGAAAGTTTAGAAACTATTATACAGGGTTAGTGTAGTCAACTATAACTAAAACTAAGTGGTGGGCCATCAGGGCCAGCAAAGCCTTCTCTGCTGGCCTAAACAATATCAGAATCACTGACTTAGTTTTAATATATTTTCCATTAATGTGCATTTAATTATTTCCAATAGTTTATTCTCTTCATTTCATAATTTTTCTCTTGGTTGCGCTGCTTCCAGTAGTCTATTTTTATATTAGAGCTTTTGTCAAATCATATTTCAGCAATCATGTGTTGATGAGAAATCTTCCTCGAGGCCTTCAGAATCAACAGTGCGGGCGTCTGTAGTTTGAAATAAATGGCAATGAAACCATTGCTTTTACCAATCAGATTTAGACTGTAAATCTAAATACAGTAGTAAATGACTGCGAAAAACAACGGGTCTGTGATAAAGATGGAAAAACACTAGAGTATGTTAGGTTCATCTTCATTTCTGACTTTATGCACTTTATGCATTTTATTCTGATGTTATTTGCAAGGTATAAAGCTACATTTAATTTTCCATAAGAATATCTAAGGAGCGCTTAGTTTCCGAGTCAAGCTGTCTCTTTAAAGTCAGTGCAATACATTTTTGTTTAATTATATATATAATTAAACAAAAATGTATTGCACTGACTTTCCTGAAAAAAAAAAAAAAAGTTACATTTCAAGGCTTGACCGCGAAGCTGCCAAGTGTGACCCCTAAACGAAGAGGCCCAGAGGGTTAAGAGGTGGATTCATTGATGTAGGACACCACTAAAGGCCTAGGTGTGAAATACATGGCCCGCCACCATTAAAACTAAACCTAAAACTATCAAAAAATATTTTCATTGCTCGAAATAATGTTATATAAACACTGTAAAATTGTAAACTGGAATAAATTGAAATATATATTAAAATTGTTTTATATTTTTAACTGTTAAAAAACTTACTATAACTGAAGTCAGAAAGAGCTTTATTACCAAGTATGTTTACTCACACAAGGAATTTGACTACCAGTCAGGAAGTTAAAATGAAAACAGAAAGTATAAAAATAGAAATTTATCAAAATAATAATAAAAAAATATAATAGCATCAAATTGTAGTGGTGCCTGCATTTTTAAAGCTCAAGCATTCAACCGTCACTGCATGAAAAAAATTACAAAATATTTTTCTCGAATTAATGCAAAGCATACATTTAAACTACAAATTTACCTTTAGTCCCAAACTAGCCATCCCCTACTGAATGCTAGCTTTATTTAAGCTAAATCTACAACCCTGTTACCCATTGGCATTGTTTTTTTTTCTGTTATTTCATACAGACCTTATGAGAGGAACATTTTCCAGAGTACAGCACAGGGTTGGTCCCCTCTGCATTGGCAGATCCACCTCACATGACTGGTTATACATCCTGTAAGTAAAAACTAGCCATCCCCTACTGAATGCTAGCTTTATTTAAGCTAAATCTACAACCCTGTTACCCATTGGCATTGTTTTTTTTCTGTTATTTCATACAGACCTTATGAGAGGAACATTTTCCAGAGTACAGCACAGGGTTGGTCCCCTCTGCATTGGCAGATCCACCTCACATGACTGGTTATACATCCTGTAAGTAAACAAATACACAGACTAAACAGTTAAAACAGAGCCAAAATGAGTCCATCAAGTCTCTGGGAGACTACTTTGAGATTTGCCCACTAGCCATAAATAATAATCAATCATACCAGACAGATCTGAGTGCATTCAGTAGGACAGCTGCATCTGTCTGTGAATTTGGTTACACGCTGCTGCATTCCTACTGTACACTGGATAATACGACCAGAGTTAAAACTCACTTCCAGTATAAACATGTTTTGACAGTCACCATAACTTCGATTCATACTACACTAGGGTTGTTAAAAGTACCGACTTCTTCACCGAACGCTTACACGGCAACACACAGATACCGAAGTCTGTACTTTTGGCAACCCTATACCACTTCATGCAGAACTCAAATCAAACATAATGTGGCTAGTCTGGCTACACATCACTACTAAAGCAAACACATACCGCTCTACAGGACTAATGCTCCTCCCTCCAAGAGAAAAAATAATAATGAAAGACCACTGTTGTTTCCAGAGTGTAAAAATTACTCAAGAATGCAAAGCACTTTAAAAGGTGGGCCACATTTCATTAAACAGACTGAATTTGATCTTGTTTGCTCAGCTTCAGCTCCACTAGTCACTGTTAGTAAAATAAAATATTTAACTTGCTCTACATATGACACCTAATCAGAAAGTACACGTTTTTCACTGATATTCTGAAACGGTGGGTTTTATTCATCAGTCTACACACAGATACCGAAGTCTGTACTTTTGGCAACCCTATACCACTTCATGCAGAACTCAAAGCAAACATAATGTGGCTAGTCTGGCTACACATCACTACTAAAGCAAACACATACCGCTCTACAGGACTAATGCTCCTCCCTCCAAGAGAAAAAATAATAATGAAAGACCACTGTTGTTTCCAGAGTGTAAAAATTACTCAAGAATGCAAAGCACTTTAAAAGGTGGGCCACATTTCATTAAACAGACTGAATTTGATCTTGTTTGCTCAGCTTCAGCTCCACTAGTCACTGTTAGTAAAATAAAATATTTAACTTGCTCTACATATGACACCTAATCAGAAAGTACACGTTTTTCACTGATATTCTGAAACGGTGGGTTTTATTCATCAGTCATGCTAATGATGAGTAATCATCTGCGACTGCCTCTGCTCACGGACCCACACAAAGATGCCATTACCACTGCTTTAAATAATTAAAGTACAGTGTGCCACCTCCCAAAGCCCAACAGCAGCGCTAACATTTAAGTTACCCTAGACACCGCTATGCTCCATATGCCAATGTTTGACTAAAGCTCTCAAGGTATAAAGCACAAGTTAACCTGCGATTAACAATGAAAATGAACAGGATTAAATTCCTCACTGGCTGACACGTCCTTGAGCCAAATAAAGTTAATGAGAAGGAATTCGGACACTCGTTCAATATCTCATATCAAATACATTACTCATTAGGGCAGATGACGCCAGAAGAAGTGTAGGTGATACAAAGTCACGAGGTCGCTCTCTGATGTGCACAATTTAAAAAGGTGTTTTCAGTAAATGATTAATAGCCTCAAAGCACATGCACCAAATTTTTTGAAAAGACGAAAATATGCACATTTTAGTTACCAACAGTTTTTATAAACACAGAAAAATAAAAATACTAACAAAAAATTATACATTTTAAAAAATTGAAATTTCTTTAAAAAAAAAAAAAGTCTTAATTTTAATGTTTTACATTTAATGTGCATTACAGAATTCAACATTATTTTAAATGTTAAAATATTTAATATATTTAATCATTAAATTACATATATTTAATTAAAATAAATAATTTTTAAAATTCCATAATATATTGTAATATGCTTACCAGTTGTCCACAGGACAGACATGCTGATTATACAAGGCCATGGCATACCTGGAAAAATAGAAATTATGAAATATTAGCCACATTATCAGTAAAAATCAGAGCAAAAGTTTTTAAAGGAGGATTCAAGCTTGTATTTCATTCCTATTTGCAAAGACAAATTTGTCTAATTTAAAAAGGAATTTTTTAACCTTTATTGTCGCATTGGTAATACTTTAAGGTATAATTTGCTAACATTAGCTAATGTTTCAGCTAACAAGAACTAACAATAAACAATATATTTTTACAACATTTATTAACCTTTGTTAATTGCAATTAATAAAAAGTTTCATGTTCATATCAGTTCACAGTGCATTAACTGATGTTAACAGATGCAAATTTTGATCTTAAAAAAGGTATTAGTAAATGTTGAGATTAACAGATTAATAAAGGTTAAATAAATGCTGTAGAAGTATTGTTAATTATTAGTCCATGTCGACTAATGTAGTTAACTAATTAAAACTTACTGTAAAGTGTTACCATTGCATCTGTACACAATAAACATAATCTTGACAAAATGGACATAAATCAAAATAAAAACATAATGACCTAAAAAAAATCTATTTTTGAATGCAGCCATGATTCTGTCAAAATTAAAACCATTTCAAATCAATGTTTCAAGTCAAGCTGACCACAAAACCAATTTATACACACTGATGTCTGAGATTACACAAAGAGACACAGTAGGCCCAAGACTTAGTGGTATGAAACATGTAAAATCTTGCACGTTACTATATCATTATGCATGACGCTTATGGATAGACAGAAAGAGCTATCAAAAATATGCTGTGGTGTCCTATAATACTGCAACAGGCTGAGCATTCACTAATAAAACCAGAGGTTGATGTCCTTTTGACTTGTTTTCTGCGAGCACAGAACCAAAAACCGGAGAGCACCGGAAATTTAGTCAACATGACCTGTACATCTTCAGCTTAAATTGGCATTATGTGTCATTCTTTACTCACGCTAATGCAACAAGGCCAACGCACTCCTGATCCAGTCACATCGACCCTCAGGAGATGTCAATGAACACAGGACCATCAGATAGCGGTCAAAGTAAATGTTTGCCCACAGATTTGAACAGAATCTGATGAAAGAGCATCTCCAAGCAAAGCAAAAGTTGCTTACAAATGAACAATCAGACTAGAAAAGTGCTCTGTGGAAGCTAAACACACACGGCCCCTGCCACTGGATACCATCTCTGTCCGTCTTTCTCTCATGCGGATCTCACTGTTGACATACACACTAGGGCTGGGTGGTATATTATTGTCAGGAATGTGTTCCTGTTTTTGTGTTTCTGTCCCCATGTGCTCCCCGTGACCCAGTTTCTCCCTTGTTTGATTGTGTTAATTTGATTCAGGTGTGTCTCATCGATTACCCTTGTTTAGTTTAGTATTTAAAGTGTTGTCTGTTCTATGGTTCATTTGTCCAGTGTTTTACGTCTATTGGTGCTACGTGTGTCTCCAGCCTGCCTTGTATTACTCTTTGGTTTGTTCGTTAAAGACTGTTATTCCTGCTACTCCTACATCTCCATGTTCCTCGCTCCTACACAGTACGCAACTGTGTTTGTATGATGTATCGATATATTTTTAATAGGCAATATTGTGTGAGAGAGTACCATTTATATACATTTTCAGCAGTTTGATTGGAGCACATCTGAATAATAGCAGAAGATGCAGAGTGAGCTGCTACGGGGGAAGTGCATAATCCAATTTGTCCTAAACATGAGACATGCTTTATATGAACAACTTTAAAATAACTTGCAAGATATACTAGTTAACACGTATCATTTAAAGCAGTTGCCCTGTCAGATGCTCTGCCAGACTCATGTGCTGCTGACAGACAGGCTACTTCCCTGATAGCACACGTATATCACGGAGATGTCTATTTGACGTCTGCCTTTACATCTGCAAGATGTATATTTGCTCATCTGCAATACGTCAATAGGACATTTCCTATTAGATGTCAAATAGACGTTTAGAAAATGTCTTTAAGATGTTTATGATTTAGAATGTATGTAAAACTGACATCTTAAAGACGTCTATCAGATGTTTGTACACAGCAGATGCTTTCCAGAGCGATCTTTAGCAGACATCTTGCAGACCTACGTGTGCTATCTGGGTTGCTCTGTTTAATGCGTTTGAGATGTGCTGTTTTCCTCAATTAACTTTTCACAGGTATATTCTCCATCTGTAAATGTTAGAAAGTCATGGAAATATTTCTGTTTTGCTGTCAGGAGCCTTCTGCGTGCGATTCTCCTCTAAACTTCACAGACTTCAGTGAACGAGCGCCACTGCGTGCATGCACGCCAAACAGATGGAGCACAATATAGCTCAATAATTGTGTCATATGTAGAATTTGAAACCTACAACTAAGTGTATTTTATGATAGCAGATAGTAGTGCTGGGTAAAAATATCGATATCTCGATTTTAATCAATTCTCATTTTTACGAAAAGATATTGATTCTTAAATCCCAAGAATCGATTATTCTAGCCTGTTTTCAGTTAATGGACGGAACATTGAAGCGCACCTCCCATCCAATAAATCGCAATAAGCATTGTGCTTTGGTACTTTTAAATATGAAACAAAGTCTCAGATTTAAATTTATGTCCATTGTATTGCAGTATACAAACAATAAATGCCGTTTTGGCGCTGTTTAATGTGGAGTGACAGATTGCTGTAGCGCCTCAGATCAACAGATGCAGCAGCGCGTAGCGCACGTGAACCGATCATCTCCTCCACATTAATACCAGTTTCAGCACAAAATAAACGTGACAAAACATCCGAAGGCAAGTTAAAAGAAAGAGTACAACTTTACAATCAGTATTCTGTCTCATGTAATCGCTCAATCAGTGTTTCAACTGTGCAAAGACGTCAATATAACAGCTTGTAAACAATTCATGTAACATCACATTTACCTCAGAAAGCACATTTGGTGACCATAAACTCGTTAGTCAGCCAGAAAAATAAACTCTAGAGAGGAGCATTTAGCTAAATATATGCACCATATACCATTCATTATCATTTTTTTTACCGTTCTTTAATGCTTTATTTATGTTTGAATAAATCTGTCCAAGTTATGACAGCCACAATTTAAATGTGTATATTTAAAAAAAACTAACTGAAGTAATTGTAACTTAATTATTATAAAAACTTCATTAAGTGCAATTTAAGCAGTTGTACAGCACAAATCAGTCAATTTTAACCTTCAATGTTATAATGTAGTACCAACTGACTCTCATGTATATTTTACAGCATTAGTTGAGAGATTTTTTTTTCCTTGAGGAAATTTGGCATGTACTGAACCTGATATGTATCCAAAATAATCGATATTGAATCAAATCGAATCGGTAATCGAATTGAATTGCAAGCTTGTGAATGAGAATCGAATCAAATCGTGAAATTTGTGTCAAAACCCAGCCCTAGCAGATAGCAGTAATGGGGTAATCAAAATATAATGCAATTAATCTGTGCTCTTGTGTTCATTTACTTTCGTTTTTAGTTTAATGAATTGAACTTCTGCTTGAAAAAGCTTTATTTTTGTTTTTAAATTATAATGTTACAATGTTAGATTGTAATGTGATTTTTGTAATGTGATAGCTCCTTTATTGCACATAATGGATAGCATAGCCTACTTTCACTATATTTGTTTTCATTACTTTTAATATAAACATTGTTCCACTGGACAACATTGGCCAGGATGTTTATGTATATATTTATAGAAAATGTATAGAAATTAAATAGAAATTGCATTTCAGCCAAAAAATACAGAGATCTGATTCTTTTGGCCATATCACCCAGCCACAAACACATTTGCATTTGTCCAGCGTAACTGCATCTGACAGCACGCAGGGTTAGGAGTGGGCTAAGCAGCAATTAGGTTTGTTTTCATCTCAAGTAAATGTGTGTGTGTGTGTGTGTCCACAAGAGACAGATCACCTGAGCCTTGCACTACACTTAGCACTACGCTGAGAGGAATTACATTTGGTAAACAAACATTATGCCATCTGCCATGGCCGGTGTTGTGAATAATCATGCAGCCTGTTACCAGGTCACTCTGAACATCACAGAGAGGCACACAGGCCTTCCTCAGAAAACACAGTCTGGATACAGAGTAACCCTGCTCCCGCTCAGATACCCCAGCCCATCTGCTTATAGGGTTAGATCTCTGCCACAATTCTGCGCGCGAAAGATCATAGTTTGAGCGCACAAAAGTGCATTTTGCACGCGCGCAATCTGAGTTTTGTGGAGAAAATATTAGTTTCCCAAAGAAAAAAGTATTTTGAGCATATTTTCGCACTGAAATCTTGGATGTGTGCAGACCTTCTCTTTTGCACGTGCAACGTTTCACTAGCTTGCTTCCTTGATGCCCGCCCTCAGTGCTCTCTAAATGCCGACGGCTGGCTTGCTCAACACAACCCAGCGTTACAATATGCCATAATTCCAGCCAATCAGAGAAGAGGCTGCTAAATTCTGATTGGCTGCCTTGACAACCAATCACAACATTCCTTGCATTGCGGATGACAGTGGAAGAGGGAAAATACAGTGCAAGCATAGTTATTATGCAAGTTGATATTCTGATTATATTTTTTTCCAAGCACATTTTACCAATTCCAAACAACATAAATCTTAATAACTACTATTAATCTTTTATTTAATCACTTATAACCAATATATTATTGTTCATGAAGGCTGGAAGTGAAAAACGCCTCATATTCAGGTGTGCATAATTATTAAGCAGGGTATCTTCTACAGATAACATTTTGAAATGGACTAAAAATGATCTCCCAAAACTTACTGCCAGATTCTGGAAGATAAATTCACTGTAAAAAATCCAATTAACAAAATGTTTGTAAGGGCAAAAATATTTAAGATGAGCTAATTTTATTGCTTGGGCTTAGTTGAGAGGACATATTACATTAAGTCTAACCTGTATTATATTAAGCATTAAGCTGTAGTTTTCTAAATGTTTGACCAATTAAATAATTTTAGTTGAATGGACTATAAAACTTTCAGTAAAGGTTGAGCCAACTAAAAAAATAACAATTCAGGCAACAGTTTGATGACCGAAATTGACCGCACGTAAAATTTCAGTGGAACTTGTTACTAAATAATAATTAGTTGAACCGGCCTGACATTTTTTACAGTGTTCTTTAAACAGTGGTACAAGAGGATGTGGTGCTGGTCCTTCAAGAGTCACTCTCAACTTATCGGTCTATAAAGCCGAATATATATATATATATACACACACACACATATACATATATGGAGGACGAGAAATGACTTAAGTATAAATAAATAAATGAATGAATAAATACGTAAATGCAGAATTAAATAAATAAATAAATGTAGAAATACATAAATTAATAAATAAATATATGAAGAAATAAATATAGAAATACATAAATGTAGAAATACATAAGTAAATAAATAATTAATTAAATGCTGAAATAAATCAATAAATAAATGCAGAAATACATAAATGAATAAATAAATAATTAAATGCTTAAATAAATAAATAAATGCAGATATGCATAAATTAATGAATGCATAAATAAATAATTTTGTCAAAACTGTCATTTTTAATTGTGCTATTTTTGTACCATTTGCACATATTTTTGACTGACTCTGCTGACCCACTGAGCATTTTGCTGTCCAATGGTCATTAACGTTGCAATTTATAGTATTGTTCTTAGTTTTTAATATTTCTCATGGGCATTTAATAATTTTTGATTTTCAGTCCGAGTTAAATCTCTTTTTGGCTCATTCATTAAAAATTATATATCAATTATAAATGATTAAATACAAGATTAATAGTAGTTATTGAGATTGATGTCGTTTGGAATTGGTAAAATGTGCTTGGAAAAAAATATGATCAGAATATCAACTTGCATAATGATTATGCATGCATGGTATTTTTCATCTTCTGCTGTCAAAAAAAGCAAAAAAAGGCCTCCAACACTAGCTTGCTCTATTTCTTTTCTATTCTAACAGTTTAAAAGAAAGAGGCGAGGACCAAGGATGAGTGCTTCAATGTAAGAAACATGTTTTAATGAACCGTCTTGAATCTAATTGCTTACATCTTTTTACGAACAACATTTTAAACAGATGGCAGACTCCATCGGTGTCCATACCCCCTCCATTCAACATCATGTAAAATTAGGCTACATCCCCAACCAGAGAGGCACAATGCTAATATTTCCAAACATTTTATCACAACTACTGAGGACTCAGATCTAGCACTGACAGTTTCAGCTGTTACCGTGCACAGGCTTTAATATATAAAGCCTTTGTTATGAATAAATATTCTCAGTGTTGTTTGCATAAACAATGTGTTCAACGTTGCAGGGAACAGCACATATTTGTAGGACTATTCAAGCCCGTGTGACGTTACCATAAACAACAGCCTCAACGTATAGGAATAACGTCCAAGTGGAAACACTGGCTTGGAAACTTATCCTTTCCTAAATGGAAACTTTTTTTTACAATGTACCCTGAATAATTTAAACAACTGTTCCACTGGGGTGTAACTGGGGGATACATACTACTCAAACTGCTAACAACTGAGTGTTTTAACTAACAAAACTTACATGTTGAAACAATTCAGTGTGAGAACACACCAAACCGTTTCATTTGTGCTTTAAACTGTTAGTTGTTGTTGATTTTGGAAACGTTAAATCATTTCTTTTATAGGTCATCATTAGAGGTTTCATTTTCAGAAAACATGCCCTTTCTTGCACAGATAATGGAAGAAAAAGTCTCTTGAACGGGACACGTTTAGTCCATGTTGTATTGGGAATTTCTCCCAGACCGTCACTACAGGAGTCATGGAAAGAAGAAACCAAACATTCTCTCTCTGGCATAGTAAATGAGAAGGTGCTGATGCTGCTCTAAGTTGCCCTCCTCTGTTTTACTCTCTCCTCTCCTCACACAGGCTTTATGTAACCACCTCAGTGACTTCAAACTCAAGGCTCTACAGGGGAGGAAGGGGATCTTGGACTCCCCGTAGAAACAGGGCGTCTGCAAGCATTTCACAGGAAGGAAGTAGGAACAAGCAACGTGACACCAGCATAGCACTGCACCTTCAAGCAAATAAAACCACATAAAAGGTATTCCACATCCACTAGATCACAGTCTTCCAACAACTGTGATCACACATGACGTCAAAAACCTGATTTCCTTAAAATGTACTCTTCAGTCAATCACATGCCGGTTCATGCACAGCTCTCTTCCTGAACACCAAGGGCTTTCCAGTCTTCCAACAACTGTGATCACACATGACGTCAAAAACCTGATTTCCTTAAAATGTACTCTTCAGTCAATCATATGCCGGTTCATGCACAGCTCTCTTCCTGAACACCAAGGGCTTTCTCTAGATTTCTGTACCATGGCAACTTTACTAATAATGACCTCAAAGTCTTCAACATTTTTCAAGCAAGTTCAGGTGAGTCAGTTATTCAGCAGATAGCCCACTCCTCACAGAGAAAGTTCAGGAATTTGAATATAAATGGTACTGGAAAAGGCTCATGATTTAATACTTGCACAAATAATACACCTTTCCATAACAAATTATGTTACATTGAAAACTGCATGATTCAGAAGCAGCTTTGAGGTGTCCCAAAAAAATTAACCTAGAGACATTTGTAGTAAAGATAGAATATCTGTGTACTATAAAAACCATTTCAATGCAGGCCAGACCTAAAACGGTGATATATTTGCATAAAATGGCTTCAGCATACTGTACATGTGCCCAGCTAATATGGAAGGCTCTCAGAATTTGAACTCAGTTATGACCAAATGTTCAAATGTTAAAAATTATTTAATAATGTTCCCAAAACATTACCACAAAAACATTATTTATACATCATTCATGGAACTTTTTTCCTGAAATGTTTTAGTTAGATGATCGTCTAATGTTTTTTTTAAATGTTACTGCTTGTTTCAAATTGTTCAGAGAACAATCAAAAGTAACGTTACCATAATGTTTGCAAAATTATAAAATGGAATGTTCCCTTAACATTTGCAAAACAAAAAACAAAAAATGTGAACACATTTTTAAAAACTGGACATTTTAAACGTCCAGAGAACATTCAGAAATAAAGTTTTTATAACTTAATGGGAATGTTAGCAAAACATCCTTTTTTGTTAGCTGGGTACTGGTTACATCATACTATAGACCCATTTGGAGTAGACGTCACAGTTACGTCACTTGCAGCTGCGCGCGCATTGTGGTGGCAGAAAACCACTGGGAACAAGTGGTTTTTTTATTTTTTTCAAATTTAAAGCATAAATTTGATTTAAATAATAGGTCTATATAATATTCACATAGGGGACATATTGTATTAGCCCTACAGTTAAAGCATGAAATATTAAACCTATAACATTTTACGTAACATTTAACTGTTTTATATCACAATTCTGACTTTTTTTCTTGCAAGTGCAAGTTTATATCTCCTAGTTCGGACTTTCTAACTTGATTCAACTCAACAATTGCGAGTTTGTCAATTCTGAAGAAAAAAAATGCCAGAAGTGTGGGATTATAAACTCATGATTCTGAACCGAGGGGAAAAGAGAGAATGACGAGTTGATTTTTCTTATCAGGAGTGTGAGATATAATCTCGGAATTGCAAGAAAAAAGTCAGAATTTTGAAATACAAAACTCAAAATTACCCTTTTTTATTATTTTATTCCATGGCTTGCACAGACTGCTATGTTAAAACTGTCATTTTCTGCCACCAGATAGACTCCGCCAACAAAAAAACATCACTGTTTGCAAACACTGAAATTGATCTATTAAAACAATCTGTGACATATAAAAGCTACATCATTTATTCTTCTAGACCAGGGGTGCCCAAACTCGGTCCTGGAGGGCCGGTGTCCTGCAGAGTTTAGCTCCAGCTTGCCTCAACACACCTGCTGGTAAGTTTCTAGTGTGACTAGTAAGAGCTTGATTAGCTGCTTCAGGTGTGTCTAATTGGGGTTGGAGCTAAACTCTGCAGGACACCGGCCCTCCAGGACCGAGTTTGGGCACCCCTGTTCTAGACCATAAAGTTGCAAAATTACCTTCTATAAACTGTTGAATTGGTGTGAATCCAGTTAAAAATAAAACTAGGTTGAAAGTTATGTAATCTTAAATCAAAGCATCCATGACATCTGCACGTTTTATGCATAGTTATGGATCCAGAGCATGATCGTTTCATATGATATGACATAAAATGGACTCACACAACCCATATTCCAGTGATGGTCAGAGCTGGGAGGCTGACAGGTAATATCATCCACAGAGACATCTCCAGCACACGGTCCTCTACTGCTCCCCTCAAAACAGCCACTTCTTTCGCCTTCGCCAGCCTGTCTCCCTCTGCTCGTCAATGTGCATTTATACTTGTTGCATGACCCCAAACTGGCTTATCTTAAAGATCATATCTGCAATATAAAATAAATCATTTTTTCAATGACAAAAACATGATAAACAGTTCCCTAGACTGTTACCTGGCATTTTGGACATAATGATATTGTACTATTGCACAATGCTGTTTGCCAAGCTGTGAAATTTACATTATTTTACACACATTTATACTCTTTTTTTACATATGCATTATTATGTACTATATTAGTTTATATTTTTGATTCTGTCTATTCTCTTCTCTGGACCTGCAGAAACAACATTTCGTTGCCTGCAATAACTGCTGCATGTCTGGCTGGTGTGTATTTGAATAAAAATAAACTTGACTGTGATTGAAAACTGTAATAAGCATACGTACATCCTTTTGGTAACAAGGCAAAATGGCCGATTGAAGTTGTCAGTTTAACGTAATTGTAACAGCCGTGTGTGTAGTGTAGAGTGTGGACACTGTGTCTCACCTTCCCCCTGTGATAGGGGACAGCAGACGCGTCTCCCACCTTTGTTAGACCCTCAGACAGAGCGCAGGCTGTTCAGGAACGGACTGCATCAATCACCAGTAACCGCTACAGGCTTCTCGTTAATCCTCAAGCGTCCAAATGACAGCGGCCGTGTAAAGTTTCTTCGTTCTCGGTGTTTTCGGCAGATTTGCGGAGCCTCGCTCCTTTCTGACGGTCAGCGCTGTCTGTCTCGTGTCCCGCCGTGTGGCCTGAACGCTCACTTAAAACAGTCCAGCTGTTCACACAGCTCCGCCTCCCGACACAACACACACACACACACACTCACACACACTCACAGCAACATTCTGATACAGTGCACACAATATTTGTAATTTTGAAGTGAAACGATGTACAAAAAGCACTATAGAGACAGAGATTTTTTTTTTAAAATGTGTTTACGTACTGTAGCCTACACGGAAACAAAAATAGATCTAGGTACGATATGTAAAAGAGAGAAAAAGCATTTAATTTACAGTAAACATCTATATTACATTCAACATGTGGTTTTATAGTGAAGTGTATTTTTATGTAGGCATGTCGTTTTATGAGTAAAACTTCGAATCATCTATTAACCGCACAACAGTAAAAAAAAAAAAAAGACGTTCCCTTCCGAAAATATTTTATTTAAATAGCTTTTAAAGGGATAGTTCACCTAAAAGTAAAAATTCTGTCATTAATTACTCTCCTTCATGTCGTTTCAAACCCGTAAGACCGTCGTTCATCTTCGGAACACAAATTAAGATATTTTTGATGGAATCTGAGAGCTGTCTGACCCGGCATAGACAGCAACACAACTGAAATGTTCCCAAGTCCAGAGACACAGCAAGGAGATCGGTAAAATAATCCATGTGACATCAGGGCTTCATCCGTAATTTAACGAAGCTACACGAATAGTTTTTGTACGCAAAAAAAAGAAAGAAAAAACTTTATTCAACAGTTCGTCTCTTCCGTGTCACCCTGTAGCGCCATTTTGGAGAGTATCAGCTGGACGTAAACAACCTATGCTGTTCTGTGTCAGCTGCGTCACGCCTACTCCTAAACCTACCAATACTAGAGGGTGCATAATCTGGCAGGGTGCAAATTTTGGCACTACACCGGGTCTGTTTCCTACGTTGTTGTGATTTGATCTGAATGAAAACAGCATATCCGTGTGACGCAGCTAACACAGAACAGCATACGCTGTTTACGTCCAGCTTATACTCTCCAAAATGGCACTACAGGAGACGAATTGTTGAATAAAGACAACAAAATTGTTGTCTTTTTTTTTTTTGCGCACCAAAAGTATTCTCGTAGCTTTATCTCGTAAAATTATGGTTGAGCCCCTGATGTCACGTGGATTATTTTACCGATCTCCTTGCTACGTTTCTGGACTTGGGAACATTTCAGTTGCGTTGCTGTCTATGCAGGGTCAGACAGCTCTCAGATTCCATCAAAAATATCTTAATTTGTGTTCCAAAGATGAACGAAGGTCTTACGGGTTTGAAACGACATGAGGGTGAGTAATTAATGACAGAATTTTCATTTTTGGGTGAACTAACCCTTTAAAGGGATAGTTCACCCAAAAAAATTTATTTTGTTTATCTGCTTACCCCCAGGGCATCCAAGATGTAGGTGACTTTGTTTCTTCAGTAGAACACAAGTTATGATTTTAAAGTCCATCCGTTGCAGTCTATCAGTCATATAATGCATGGCAATGGTAACAAAATCTATGAGAGTAAAAAAAACATGCACAGACAAATCCAAATTAAACCCTGCGGCTTGTGACGACACATTGATGTCCTAAGACACGAAACGATCGGTTTGTGCCAGAAACCGAACAGTATTTATATCATTTTTTACCTCTAATACAGCACTATGTCCAACTGTCTTTGGGCGCGCGCACGGCATCCGGTGCGTGAGGTGTGTAAGCGCTCTGGCGTAGTTTACGTTAATGGGTGTGTTGATATCCAGCCGAAGAGCAATCAACCATAACTTCAGGCGAGCAGGCTCAGAACTTGGGAATACGTGGAAAGTCCCCACTCCCGAATGAGTTCGTGCGAGAGAACGTAAACTTTTAGTTTTCAGTCGGTTTGAACAATCCTGATAAGCGCAAGTAAGTACCATTTTGATTAGCTGTCATACCTACAATGTTTGTGCACGGGGTAAACAATGAGTGACGTATATGCGCGAGAGATCACTTCCGGCGCTTGCGTAAACTACGCCAGAGCGCGTACACACCTCACGCACCGGATGCCATGCGCGCGCCCAAAGACAGTTAGACATAGTGGTGTATTAGAGGTAAAAAATGATATAAATACTGTTCGGTTTCTGGCACAAACCGATCGTTTCGTGTCTTAGGACATCAATGTGTCGTCACGAGCCGCAGGGTTTCATTTGGATTTGTCTGTGCATGTTATCTAATTAAGTTACTGATAATTGATTTGGCAGTTCTTAATTATCATCTGTGATAATACACATCCCTGACACTTTCAGCCATCTTCAAATGTGATTCATGTTACTTAATGTTAACTAAAATTCAACTTTCCACTCAAATTGTTATGCTGATAATATAATTTGTAATAATAATAATAAAAAATTTGCATTAAAGGAATAGGAAAGAATGCAAAATGTAAGTGTTTTCACTTTGATCAGTGTCTTGAATAATAATGATCAACTTGTCATCTTGTCATCTTCAAGTCAGAAACTGCTTATTTTCCTTTCAAACTTATTTTACACCAGAAGGTTTCTGTTTAGAGGAAACTATGTTGTCTTGAAAAACTGGGCAATGTGTGCAATGCTTTTTTTTTAGGCCTCAGACATCATTGCATCAAAGTTGAGCTACCTCTGTAGTAAACCATTACAAGTGATAGAATAGGTTAGCTAAACAATCTTGAATGAACATATGATTATCATTATAATATGTATGTCTTGAAAAGCTGCTAAAGTGTTTGTACATCCCTATGTTTTGTTCTGCTAGACAAGATATGATATGTATGATGTACTTATATTAGAGTTTTAGTACATTCTGATAGGAGTTCCCCTCTGATTAGATGTGCTACTGGTGGTGTAATGTTCAATGCATTGCTCATCTTGCCTAAAAAGTATTTTTTATCAGACAAGCATCACAGCTGACACCATCATCCTACTGCAGGGTTCGTCAGATTTTCAGAATAGCTGTTACCAAAACGTATTCTGTCCACACAACAGCCAAACAAACCTCAACAATAAATATGGTCTGTAATTAAATACAGTTTCTATTTCTACAATTTGTCATAGCAACAACCAATCTGAAGAAAACACGATTTCACAGCTGTTCTATGCTGAGACAGTACCTCAATCCACTGCTGCATAATAGCAAGCCTAATCAGTGTTTCTTCTTTCTTTGTTCTTTTGATGTTCTGACGTAACAAGTTGACGCTATGTGCAAATGATGAAAATAATATTCATGGATAAGAGCATGTGGTCAAAGGAATTAATGATGTGAGTCAGACTTGTGAATGTAGATATTGATTGTGAAGTTTGTCTCATTTGAACATATAAATATTTCTTAAGCCTGACAATGATGACTTAGTCATAACGGTTACTGTAATACATTTTAAAATGTGGAAATGCTTAATAAAACACAACACACAAAACAAAACACAAGAGTTGCTTACCTCGATTTTATTAAGAAAAGAGTATTACAAATCTCTCATTTTCAAAAGCATTGGAATGGCTCCGTCTAGTGGATGTCTTTTGAATAAAAACAGAAGGCCATTACAAAGAGTTATGTAGTTATGTCTAGAATTCTTACTTTTTTGTGTAACATAGCACACAAAATATACCTAGTGTCTGTGTTTCTGATGAGGGTCGGAGTGTTGGTCTAGAGCAGTGTTTCTTAACCCTGGTCCTAAGCGCCCCCCAACACTGCACATTTTGTATGTCTCCCTTATCTGACACCCTTTTCAGGTCTTGGAGTTTCTTTTAATGAGCTAATGAGTTGAATCAGGTGTGTTTGATTAGGGAGACACACAAAATGTGCAGTGCTGGGGGGCGCCCAGGACCAGGGTTGAGAAACACTGGTCTAGAGTATTTTGAACCAAGAGACAACAAAGTAAATAAAATCAATGAGCTAATTTATGCATTACACATGAAAAAATATCAGTGTTTTACTATTTTTAAGATCACCCACTGCTGATAGTGAAAAGTGATGGTTATATGATATATAGGCCTATACATCAGAATGAGTATCAGTGGTTCATATTTTAGATGCCCAAAAAGGGAAGGAAAGTAACTCACTTCCTGTTCACACTGAATTGACTAAAATGATTAAAAAAAGATATGATAAATATGGAAGAACCACATTCTGATCAACCAACCATTTTACTCTATATTTACAGTTGTACTGTAGTCCCGTATCCCCAGACTCCAAGGCCAGGGTAAAGGGGCTCAGTAAATTTAGCTTGAACCTTGTGCAAGAGCTTCATTGTGTCAGACACACTGTAAAATGCCACTGTTCCAGCCTCGTAATCTACATACACCCCTATCCTGGAAGAACTGGGGACAGGTAGTATAGTTGTTCTTTTGCTGTTATGTACAAAAGAGTACTTGGATTTAGAGCAGTACAAACTCCAAGACTTGTCATTCCCCCCCAAAGCTGCCAGCATTGTAATTTCCTTTTCTCTGAATCCCCCTGTAAGTCACAGCGATGTCTATTTCTGTGCCACTCCAGTCCACTTCCCAGTAGTAGCGACCGCTGGCCAGCCCCTCCTTACACAGCACCTGCTGCCAATATTTGAAGTGATCGGGATGCTCCGGGTACGGCTTTGGCTCATTGCTCATCCGCACCACTGTGTTTCTGTCTGACAGGTGCAGGTTTGGGTGGGCTGTTGAAGGATCCATTGATAGCTGACAGGAATCTAAATTGAAAAGTGGTGTTATTAAATTAATCAACATAAAAAAAATGTATTTACATGTATATGAAATGATTGTCTCACTATTGATTATATGCAGAGTTCTGGCATGAAGCTCTAGATGGCGCAGTCCGATAGGTCTAGCTCAATCTGACCTGGCAACATCATTGTCATATGACAGCTGATTGGTTCTCTCCTGTATTGATAGCCAATGAGCTTACTGCTCAATATTCAAATACCTGGCTTTTGTTTGCTGTAGCAGTTTGCAGCGCACTTCAGAAACCCTTCACCTTCCCCAGCTCCACCTGGATAGATCTGCTACGGGGGGTGCATTTGATCAC